AGTGATGCTATTTTTTAAATTTTTCTTTAAAGTATTATTTCCTTACTGTTCCAGAAGAAATATAAATTTATGTCTCAAACTTTACAAAATTTCTCTCTATGTGCGTTTGTGTATTTATATATATGCATGCATGTGTATATACACACATGCACACATACATATATTTCCAATATATAATCATGTGAATTATATGTATCAATACAGGTGTCTGTTATGCATACAGATATGAGTGAGTGTGTGCGTGTATTCATTTTTCAGGATATCAGATTTCTAGCGAATAATCTAGAAAGTTTTTTTCTCTTAATTTTCCACATCTTCACATTCAGTTTTTTTAAATAATTAAGATGAAGGTATTCATATTTAATATTTCTGCACAACTTGATTTATCACTTAAAAATGCATTTATTTAATCGTGGATAAGGTGGGATGTCAATTCCAGTAGTATATGATTTTTAATAGTAGAATAATTTCTATAAAGAAGCTTTTGTTTATTTTTATCTTTTAATTCCTCTAAAAGAAAATTACTTAATAATATTAGAAATAATTAATCTATTACTTCTTAAACGTCTTAAATATGTTATTGGAAAATTTTCATTCAATAGCTTTATAAATTTTTTTATGCAATATTTAAATTTCATAAGAACTAGTTGTTGATAAATTAATTTCCATTGCTTTCTTTATACATTTAGTTTAGAATTCAGTTTTCAGTGCATTTAATTATTCTCCTTCATGGCCCTCCATGTACAGCCCAAAAGCGGCTGAGCGGTAAAGTTACTGGAATGCTGATATTTCAATATGAGTTTGACTCCAGGTGGACAGGCTGGCTGCTTGAGCAGTTACCTGGTTTTCCACATGGTAACATGGATATGACAGTTTTTCCCATAGAAAATCCTCCACAAAGACATCCCTCCCACACAGACCTTGAATGTCAATCCTTGCACCACAATCAAATAAACCAAACCAAACCAAACTAACCCTCCAATCAAAACAGCTCCTCAATAGAAATTCTTCATATCTGTCAAGCAAATGACATTCACTAATGTAATTAATTCTCATGATACACTCTAAACCAAACTCCGAAGTTATTAATTATGCTTACACAAACAGAGCACTTAATACAAGATTTTGTCGATTAATTCTCATTTTTAGAAATAGTTGAATAAATTTCTTATCTTTAATAAATACAGTGAACCCTCTCTAAAATGACCACAGACAGTTTTACATGATTTTAATTTTGTGTAGAACGTTTCATCTGAGAGATGTTCAGTACCAGAATTTATTTGTATATTGAGGAGAGATAGTCAGTTTCAGAGGTGATAACAAAGAAAAGGTTTACCATGTTAAAATGATAATCTCTTCCTAACTTTTTGCAGGGTTTTTTAGTTTGATTTATGTGATTATGGCAATGCCTTGAGGGCTATCTGCCAAAGGAGAGAGATGCCTTTGTGGAGGACTTTCTAAGGAATATTTGTTTATATACACGTTACACATGGGGAAAACCATTAAAAATTCCATGTAGCCAGCCTATTCGCGGGATTCGAACCTCAGACCGAACTACCAGTCTTCAGCGGCTTTACTGCTCGCTGCTGATGGGTACCTTTTTTGCAGGGAAGGAAGTTTTTCTAAATGTAGAACTTAACATACCAGTCTAAATAGTCCATGTTAAGATTTGATCTAGGAATAATGTTGAAGCTGAAATTAAAATTATATAAATTTAAATGAAATGCATGTAATGTGAATCTCAAATTTAGATTCCTGCGATGTGATTTTTTTTTAATGTAAAGATCAGGCTCTGGTATATTGATATATATATACATATACATACATAAATTTTAAATATAGCATGAAGTTTTATATTTGAGTATGATACTGAGCGCCGCCTGAGATAATCACTGACCTGACTTTGTTGTAAAAGTCTTACAGTGTTACTAGTCATCCTGGCAGAAGGGAATATTTCCTCTGTGTAAAAATATAAATATTACATGGGCATACAAGGCCTGTGTATCAAAGATATGTTGATTACAAACATGGTCTTGTACAAATTACATAAATTCATGTGTACATTTAAACATTATCTGAATTCATATTTACAATACTTTTACTGATATAATCAAAAGTAAACTTGTAATTCATTTACACATTGACTGGATTTTCAGTATCATTTAAACTACTTTACAATATTATTTTTATCAGTACATACAAACTGGATAGTAATATGCTTACATTACAATAGTTTTGCTCTTACAGTCCTGTTACTATTCTACGGGGTGAGCTATTTTTTCTAGTCTATTTGAGTATGATACTGAAAAATGTTAGACATATGAGAAAATAAATATATGTTTTCTTCACATATTGTGGAATATTCGTTTAAATTAAATCGTTATATACAGATATATGAGCATATATATATAAACACTTTCATTCCGAAAAACTAAATACACATTCGAAAAACGCAGTTCATAACGCCGAACAGCAGAATGTAAACAAACGTCAGAAATGTGACATCACTCATGTGGGCGGAGTTAATGGTGACCCTCATCTAGATTGTCATTGGCCAAATTCAAGCCGTTGTCCTAGCAGTGTACATTTCGCTTATATGCTTCCGGGACTCTTTCCATTTCGGCAACTTATTATTCAATATTTCGAATCTTAAAAATAAACAAGGTAATAAATGCTATAAAGCACAGTTTATGAAACAATTTTTTCATGGTAAGAGTTTTTTCCATGTAATTGTCTCAGAATATGCATGCTTCCTCTATAAAATCAGTTTTACACTTTTTTCTTCTGGTTCCCCCTCCACACACTAAAAATATTACTGCCTTTTTCATGTTACAGAATTGGTAGGGGTAATTTTCCTTTGGGATTTTAGACATTACAACTTGGAAAGTTTATAAGGATTTGAGAGCAAGATTTATAGACCTATAATTCCACAAAAATGTCTTCATTGTATTAACACATAATGAATGTATTTTACAGAAAGTTTATGATGAATTTCTTACTTTTTGGAAAACAATGAAAACATAATATTTGACTGTTTTATTTCTTTTATTGGAAGTCTGTTCCCTCCCCCCCCCATGTTTATCTTCTCTTTATTTTCTGTACTTTTCACTAGACACAAGCATGGAAAAATATCAAAAATGCTTCTTATCTTATCACATGGACAAACATTTATAAAAATGAATTTTCTTATTAAGAAATTAACAATTTAAAAGATTCATCTGTCTCAATGCATCATACACAGGGCTGGCACTAGACATTTTGCCACCTGATGCAATCTCTCTGTGGATCCTAAATTCTGCTGCTTGATGCCATTTTAAATTCTAAAAGCTTTGCCGTTTCTAGATTTTGTTGCTTGGTGTATCACTAAATTCTAAAAATTCTGCCACACCAGCTCTGGAACTGGTCCTTACCAAATATCATTTCATATTTATTCAGAATGTTCATATTACTAAAGAATAAAATTAGTGGCTTTTTCTATTCAAAACACATTTAGTTTTTTAGAATAACAGAAATATTTAATTAAATCCAAAAATTAAGAGGAAATGTATAAGAAACTGAATACATAAAGAGAATGAAAATTATTCTTCAGAGACATGTACAGTTATTATTATGTAATTGAACCAGTTGTTAATAATTTCCGCCTTTAGTATAACTTCCGTTTTTCATTTCCTCACCAGAATGCAAATCAATTAGATATTTTTTAAACTGAGGTTTTGGGATTGTAAGGCTAAAGTTTGTTTCTGGCTTCTGCTACCATGTTGCATTAGTTCCTGCAAGCTCTGATAATTTTTAATTATTCGTCTTTGTGTTATCGCTGCCGATATTTGAATTTGTTATGATCATAGAGTTACTGAATCAGCTTACACTGAAATTAAAATGTGTAGTCTTTGACTACTAGTCCGTATCTTTAGTTTGAATTTGACTGTTCATGTTTAATTACATCACCACAAGCTGTAGTTGATTTTGCTAGCATAAGAATATGCTTTTATATTTTAAGTTCTTTTTAAAACAGAGGTTTATTTAAACCTTTATCTGAGTTTGTTGTTACCTTCAAACATAGCAATAATTTGCTTCGTCTGTCAGGGGTGTTAGACTATTCAACTTTTACCAGATCATGTAAAATCTCATAGGTATATTGTTGAGAGATTGACAAATTAGGAGATAAAGAGCTCAGAAACTGGTGAGAACACTGATTTGCTTATTGAAAAACATAAAATAAATTTAATAATAAATAAAGTAATAAAATAAATTTGCTTTTTCAAGCCAGATTTGTTATAAGTATAGTGTAAGAAAACTGACTCTTGGTGGTAATTTTAAAATGTTATGTGTAAAACTTCAAATTATAACATAAATTTCTTGCAGTTGATAAAAATTTATCTTAATATTAAGTTTTTGTATTATTGTTTCTTTTCCCCGAGTTATGGCAACATGAAAAAAGGACAGTTCACTTTTCAAATTGTTGCCACTTGCCACCAAATATTAGAACCCTGCATTATATTTACAGAAATTATGAAAAATCTGCATGTATGTTTCTTGTATTGTGGAAAACAAGACACTAGAGACATTTAATCTAGACTAGAGACATTTAATCTGCAGTGCGCTAGATTTCTCTTCTGAATTCTAAAGATATGCTCTTTACAAATATTTTGTGATATTGCTGTTGAATTTAATTTTAGGGTTTAAGTTGCTAAGAACATGGTATTTATTAAATAAAGGTAACACACAAAACGTTGGGGAGCGGGAATGCCCTTTTGTTGGTAATATAAAATCGGAAAGCTTTCAGACTTTTTTTTTAAAATAAGTCTTTAATTCTTGACACCCATAAAGTTGAATTTTACCAAATATATCCTAATCTGTGATAGATTTTTCATAAAAAAAGATAAATATTAAAAATATTTTTAATATCCTATGCATATGTTTATTACTGTAGTTTTGTATTACTTATATCTTTCTGAAGTTTAATAATGTTGCTTTATAAAAATCATTGTTTTTTTGTGCAGGTGCCATCAACAGATAAAAACTACTTGAATGGAATGTGGGGAAAATTAGCATCTGAAATTTTAATGCAGAATTGGGATACTGCCTTGGACGACCTGAATCGTCTGAAAGAATTTATTGACAGTAATGTGAGTTTCCCATACTTATTTTACTGATAGTTTGATGTATATTATCTAGATATCTATATTAAACAGTCTTTAAATCCAGTCTGTCTTTCAAAACTGGACTGTGATTTTAAAATTTTTTATGAATTTAGTTGAATTCTGGTATACATAGTCAAAATATATTAAATGTTCTCTTAAGAGGTTGTGTGGCAAAACATGGGCTTTGAAATACACCTTCTGAGCCATATGTTAATCATCCTATAAAATAAACTGACCAATTATCATATGTCCAGCTATCAATTCCATCACGTGCTAAAAGAAGGAATTACTAAACAGGATCTATTGTTTTATGTAGAAGTTAATTCCTAATTTGTGAATCTGATGCTTTACTCAGCTATATCACTAAACAGAAGTTACAGCATATATGTTAACACATTTTTAGAATAATTTGGAGCTATTTAATTAATATTTAAAATGCAGATATTTATTATTTTTAAGTATTCAACCTGATGGTGTATTTTCTGGACTGTGACTTTCAATGGTAGACCTTTTTATAAAATTTCCAAAGGTATTGTTTTCCATTCTTCTTTAATTACTTTCCTGAGTTCTTCAGTCATAGTTCATAAAGAGGGGAGGTTCTTTTCAAGATGTGAAAGGCACGGGTAAAAATGTATTGAAAAGGTGTGCTTTCAGCTCCTTTGACTGCCTTCATTTTTTCAAGGAATACAGCAGTAGCTCTCAAAGTATCAAAATAGTATTCGTAGTTTTGTCTTGGTTAACAGGGTTTTGCTTTGGAAGTCATTGGGATAAAGAAGTGAAATATTTCTGTAAATATCAGGCAAAAAACATCTTCTAGAAAGCATGATGAGTTGATTTTAGCACTTTTTCTCATTTTAAATTTTCTGTTACAGTAAAAACCTGTAACAATCATAAATCCTGTGTAAAAACTTTCTTAGTGTGCAGGCAAGCCTCCACATTATTTAAGCGTCAGGTGTGTTAATCACAACCACAGGATGGCAAGTCAGAATGTAACAACCGGTTTCTTGCTCTCTTCTGCTGCTGGTGTTCGGAGTGTAGGACGGCTTTCTGGTTGTTCCTCTTCTGCCAATGCAATGCGAGGAAATGTTTTTTTCCCTGCCCCTTCTTCTTTGAATGCTGCCTGATAACATCATGGAACCTTTCGTAAGATTTTGGCTTGAAGGTACAATGCTATAAAAGATTTCTCCAGAATTGTAGAATATTGCTGCTGTTAATAATTCTTCTTTCCAGCCACATTATCTTTTTAAGATTACTCTGCTTCGTAAGTAAGCAATGCGCATGTGTTTTCTGTTCTTCGATATAGAGACCAAATATTATCGTTTACCGAATATGCTTATTGACGGCCCAATTTTTGGATGGTTCCAACTTCTACAGAATTTTTGTTTCATATTGATGGATGAAGATTGACTCTGATAATGATGAGTTCAGCGTTATATTAGTAATGTGCATCAAGTCACTTGTTAGATGTTCCGGGTGTGATTCTGTTTAAGTACCTTGCATTCGTCTCTCTGGCAAATATCTTATTTGATCTTTAGTGCTTATTCTGAAATAGTGATGCTAAAATAAAAATAATTAATTTCCTTGTGATATTTGAATTATCGTGTTTGGGGTAAGTTAACTTTGATCTTATATTTTCCTTCACAGATCACACATTTCTACTCTCACATTTGTATGTATCTAAAGGTTATTGCGTTCACAATGCAATCTAAGTAATTCATCTAATATTACACTTAGCATTCTCAGAACCTAACCTGTACATTTTTCCTCATTGTTTTTTGATAATATGTTGTCATTTTTTCAATTGTTTAGGTAAAACACTGCTGCATTAAAAGTCATGCTAAATGATGTTCATAAAGGGCTGCACAGTATTTTCTATATTCAGCCACATACCTTGACAAAAGCCAGTTAATGTGCTTCTCTCTCTTCTTCCCCCCCCAACTTCCTTGTACGAAGTAAAGGAATTCTGGTTGTACGAAGTAAAGGAAGTACTGTAATCACAAAAAAATTCGGGTATCATATTTCATTGGAAATATACATTTCAGCCGCTTCCAAATTCATTTCAACTTTTGTGTGTGTGTGTGTGTGTGACATCTGTATGCATGAACAGAATAAAGAAATTTTTTTATAAAACAAATTGTAAAATGGATTCAGAAGGGATTTTTCCATAACATCTGTACATATATACATATGTATCTTGCAAAACTCGAAAAACGATTAGCCATAGAGTATTGAAATTTTGTGTCTAGGATTGCTTTAACATCTAGTTGTACACTGCCCTTTTTTATTGCAATTGGCAGTACAAACACATATATATATGTAACAGCCAAAGCCCGAAGTTCGGCTGGCTCCCTAATTAAGTGGCCAGTTTGCAATTTGGCTGAGAGGTATGGTCAAAGTTAGATGTACTTGCAATTAATATTGCATATTCTTCTTTCACTGGCCATTTCACAAACTAGCCAGGATTCTTTGGGCAAAGCTTGATGTGGTAAAGGCATTTCAGTTTAAAGTATTTATATTATTCTCCCACAGGCTGTCCCATGACTACAGCAGATGTGACTAGTATGCTGGGTAAAGATGGTGACTATTCATGATGATCATGTGACTTAATATGCGCAGGAAAATAAAGTTTATACTCAATTATCATGGTCGCTACACACCATCACGTCTATTTAGTCACTAACTACGCTCGATGCAGTTGCCGTACTAAGTGCTCAACAAATCACTATAAATGCAGGAAGAACCAACTGTTGTGTAATTCGGAATGCCATATGAGTTTATTTTGTTGTGATGAAAGCCGTAGGTAATTTACTATATTTTATGAGCTTAACACTGTCGTAAGTGATTTTCATCATTTATATTTAATAAAATGTAAAGCAATCTGCTGACTTTTTTTTCCGAATTCAGCCGATTTATACCATTTTGCAAATTCGCCGGCCAAATTCTGAAATCAAGAAAAAGATCAGACATTGGCCGGTAAATTTACAGTAACATTGGCTGCTTTCCAATTTGGTGAATACTTCCCACTTTGTCTGTAACATACATATATATAAGATATAACAAAATATGATGGCTGCTTTAAAAAAGTAATTGGCGACCTTAAAATTAACATTTTAAATTTGGTGCTCTTCCCTGAAATTCATCTGTTCTCCCAAATTTGAGATCTTTCGACATTACATAACACTGCTTGGAAAAAGTAACTAAAACTAATATTGACCAATCATAGCTTTTTTCTAGAACTGCACCTACTTTGATATAAAACCTCTGGTGAGCTAATTATGTCATTAATTCTGTGTCGCCTTCTGCTAGTTTCTACCTTGCTAATAGCTTCTCGCTTTGCTTCCCCATCTTTAAAATGCTTCATCATTCTTTTTAGAAAACATCATTTTTTTTTAGTTCTTGGAAAAAGTAACTAAAACTAATATTGAGCAGTCATAGCTTTCCTCTAGAATTGCACCTACTTTGATATAAAACCTCGTGAGCTAATTACGTCATTAATTCTGTGTCGTCTTCTGCTAGTTTCTACCTTGCTAATAGCTCCTCGCTTTGCTTCCCCGTCTTTAAAATGCCTCATCATTCTTTTTAGAAAACAAATGTGTATGAGAAGTAACTGTATGATTAAAAAGTATGTTGTCTATGAGAAATTATTTTAGTGTGCCTGGAAATCTGGAAATAAAAATGATAATTGGCGAGACGTCTTCCTCTCGGGCATCATGACTGTGCTTTGAAATTGACGTATATTTATTCCCATTTGTTTACCCAGCTTAGAAGTCCTTAACCAGCCTTTATTTTTACAGTTGTTAGTCATAGTCATATACTTCCAATTACAGAAGTGTTTTAAATGATGAAAATATTCATGTTTTCGTAATGTCAAATTTAAAAAAAAAAAAAAAAAATTAACAAAAAATGAAATCTGGCAATTAATGCGGTCTCTTGATTCCTGTAATTATATACAGGAAAGTTTTATATTCATTATGAAAAAATAAAATTATATGAAAGTTGACTCCCATACAACAAAAACTGAATGGGATATATAATTTAAAAATTTGCAATTTTTGATATCATAATGAAGTGCAGGAAATAATGTGTATCATGTAATAGACCATACAACGAAGTAATGCAGCATCCACATCAGATTTTTTAAAGTAATAAATCCTTATTTTGTTTACTATTTCTATAACCGTGTTTAAAGATTATGATTGATTTCTGTGTCAACAGATTTTCTGTTATTGTTTGAGACCTTATTTGAGAAACAGTACATACTTTTGAATATTTATTTGGAGCTTTTATTCCATTTTAAAGTTATAATTGGTGGTTTTTTCACCTACTGATTTATGTTCTTTATTTTGCATTTAGAAGTTGTAATATTATGTGTTTCATAACAATTTTAAATTCTGGCATATTTCTCTTCGAAAGGGCAAAAGCATATCCTTTATTCCACTGCTTCTCTACATGTGACACTTGGAAAAAAAGAATAAAATGTTTCGAGATAGCAAATAATTTTCAAATCATATACACGTTTATGGAAATTTTTTATTCTTGAACATTTAATTTTTTCTAACTGTTTATAGAAATAGTTCTAAAAACAGAAGGGAAAAAATTCAATATTAATTTGGCACAAGTTAGTTCCTTGAGCTATACTTTATTTGAAAGTGACTTTGTGAGATAATGCCTTTTTCATTCAGAAATAATGATCCCCCTGCTTAAACAAAAGTCGTGAAAATTTAAAAGTTATCTGCCAACATATTCTGATGAAACCTTAATTCATATGCCTTAAGGGGCATAATATTTTAATTTAAGAACAGGGGTTTGTGTGATCCTTAAAAGTACTTAAAATTACCTAGGTTTTTTTTTGGAAATGATTTTTGGTCCTTAAGTCCTTTTATTTCATCCATAATCGATAAAAGTCCTTAATTTTAGTCATCTGATGTTTCTATCTGCTTTTTTACCACTGCCATTTAAGTGTAAATTAACATTTTGGAGGAATATTTTTTGGCGATGCATCGACAAATGTGTATTTGATGGGTTAATGTTGAATTCTTTCTTATTTCTTAATATAAATGGTGGATACACGAGTTTTAGCATGACACCCTGCCTTGATTGAAACATAAAAGTTTCAGAATAATTTCTTTTTTAGAATGAAGTTTTGTTATTATGTGATGCTAAATTTAGCAATTTATCAACATTTTGATGATTTTCAGATCAATTTGTGTACAAAATTTTTTATTCAGAGATTTGCGAAATTTTTATGTTCTTCATTATATCAACCTCCAGAATTGAATTACTAATCAACTGAGCTGTTAACTTGTAGTGAAAAGTAAGAACTCATAGCGAGATGTGGGAATATCTTGGTTGATTGGCAATTCAATTTTGGGGGGCTGTTATAATAAATAAGTATCAAATTATATTGACAAATAACAATAAAGTAAAACATTTTTATTTTCTCCTGCCATATTTTAAAGTGACATTACTTTCCATTTTGGGGACATAGTAATGTTTGATTCTGAAAAATAAACAAGCTAACAAATGCTGTAAAGTGTAATTTTCAAAACACTTCTAAAAATAAAAATGCTATTATAATTATTTAAAAATAAATTTCATTTGTCTTCCTTTATATTTTTTCATGATAATAGTTTTTTTCCACATGTAATTGTTTCAGAATATTTAAATGTATATCAGTTTTCTCTTGAAAATTCACTTTACACTTCTCTTTTCTGAATTTTGTTTTTCAAAAGTTTTCTAGCATTTTGCCCTGACAGAATTGGTAGGGAAAATTTTTCTTTTGGATTTTAGACATTGCGATTCGAAGGGTCTAAAGGCAAGATTTATAGACCAACAATTTCCAGAAAAATGTGATGAAATTCAAAGTATCTTCATGGTAGGGTGTGTTTTATAGGAAGTTTATGATGAATTTCTTGCCTTCTGGAGAATTTGTAGAAGAACAGTGAAAACAAAATTATTTGAATTTTCTTCTTTTGATCCTAGAAGGCATTCTCTTAAAATGTTTATCATCCTTTTATTTTCTTATTTTTCCATTAGATGCAAGAATTGAAGCAATCAAAGAAAGCAAAGAAATTGAAAACCAACAATTTAATAAAATGGTTATCAAATATGCTTCAGTGCACCATACATACCTTAATGCCTGCCTAAGTTTTATTGCTCGGTGCTTCACTAAATTCTAAAAACTCTGCAAGACTGGCTGTGGTGCTGGACTTCACCTTATATCATTTTATATTTATTCTCAGTAGTCATACTGTTAAAGAAATAAAATTAGCAGTTTCTTCTATGCATTCTAAGTTCCAACAGTTCTTTAGAAGAACAGAAATCTGTAATTAAATCTGAAAATTCTAAGTTGAAGAGGAACTCATTGAAAATAAAATTGATTTTATGAAGAAAAAGAAAATTATTCTTCAAAGAATACATTAACAGATTAGGAAATGAAGCAGAGATTAGTGGGAGGTTGAGAATCCCAACTGTCAACAATATTTAAGTTATTATTAACAGTCTTTACTTGGTTTTAAATTCATATATTGTCTATGGCATACATGTATCTTTTATGATCTTGCTGCAGCAGGAAATAATTTCATCATAACTCATAAATTAGCACTACATGAATGTAACTGTGACTTCTGCAGCATAGGTTCTTTAGATTTTATTGCCATATTTATCTAATTAAAATGTACTTTAGGAAACCTAGATTTTACGTTGTTTCTGAGATTGCATAATATTGCCCCATATACTTCCCAGCATCATACCTCTAAATTTTGTGGTTAGCAATGGCTAATTTATTGTAATGTTCTTTTTGTGTGTAAGTGGGGGGTCAGAAATTACATATAAGGCGGGCATTTATAATTGTAGTATCTAAAAACACACTATACACTTCAAATCGTTCTTTTGATAAGTTGAATACATGGGAAGAGAAGTACAAAATCTCCACAGTTGTATCCTCTTGGATGCTGTCAGTCAAAACTAGAATGGAGCTGTGGCAGGTAACTGCTATGTGCTTTGCTTAGATTAAAATAATCCATCAAATCCACTTTCCATTACTTCTAAATTTCTTGTCATTTAATGCATTATAAACTTATATATATTTGATGCATTATAAAATCATATGCTTCATACTTTATTTTTATAATTCATACTTTAAAAAAAACACTAGGTTTTTTTTTTTTTAGCGTGCATTAAGTGAGAAGAGAACATTGCTCAGGATGCAACAGTAGGGTAAGCCAATAATACACCCAGGAAAACAGGCACATACAGCCAAGTTTTATGCAAGAATCAAAACTGCATCCTTAGTTTTGAGCTTGCATTTCAGTCTTCTGTAGCCATTGTATCATCCAGGGTGACCAAGACTAAAATGATAGAATTCTTTATTTGTATACATTTTGAAGAGTGTGTAGATTATAAAGTGTAGTACACAATAAATATTAAATTGTTATTTAATTTATAGTAAGATAATGCTTTATTGTGTGCAGTTGATTTTTTTCTCTATATTATATGAATATTAAACTATGTTTAGTATTTTGATATTTGTAGTATTTAATTATCATTTTTATGTATCATATTAAATATAAGGCAGTTTCCTCACTTCAGTAAGCCTAGAAATGTTTTATCTGCAGTTGCTGAAATGCTCGTCTAATTTAATTTACCAATTTTGAATAATGTCCATTACATGAATGTTATATTTCAAATTATTACTGTTTTCTTAAATAAAGAATATATTTCAACTGCAAAAGATGCATTTAAGTATGTAAAATAATTTCTATTAACCCTCTCAGCATAACGGCTGGAAAATTCCGTATAGAAGGCTGCCTTCTATATTCATTATACATAAAAATTTCTGCTAACTTTTATTGTATCTGATTTTGTTTTTGATGTGTATTGGAAGAAAAGGAATCAAGGTACAAAATGAGAGAGTCATTTTTTAATTAAAATCATGAAAATACCACTTATTCATGACATTTTGAAATTTCAGGGCTAAACCCGTAATGCTAGGAGGGTTAAAATTGATGATTAATGTAATGATGCTCTAATGATTAAAAACCTAAATGAAGTTAAAAGTTTCTAGCCCTAAAAAATGAGAATAAACATTTACCTTAATTTGTTGTATTACAATTCATCCACTCAAGTTGGTAAAGCTGCTTGTAAAGAGGATGTACTGTGTTTTTAATATAATATTTAGACCATTTGTATTTTATATTTATAGTCAGAATTATATAGTTATAATGAAGACCTCCTAATAAATGATATTGAAATATGCACATAAGCATATAAATAATTCTTACATTGAAAATTCAGTTACTTGTTTCATGCATTATATATTGTTAAATTTTTATGTGAATTCAGTGAAAGAATCATTTAAAAATATAAGTATATTTTCTTCTTTAAATATGTTTTTAGAACCTTGAGTTTCTGTTAAGCTGTATATCAAAATGATAGTTTGCTTGAAAAGCATATTTTTTGTATTCTTAGTATGATAATATGTTTTTCTGCAATAAGTATTTTTTTATTTTACTTTTTTATCATAAAATGTTATACAAATCTTCAAAATTGGTCTGTTGTATAACTCATTTATTTTTTTATTTTTTTTTTCAGCCATTTGGATCTGCACTCGTAGCACTACAACAGAGAACATGGTTAATTCATTGGAGTCTTTTTGTATTCTTTAACCATGCTAAAGGTCAAGATCTCATAATAGACACGTTTCTGTTCCAACAACAGTAGGTTTTTGTTACTATTTTCCACAATACTTTTTACATTTATGATAGATGTTTTCAAGTTAGAAATGTGTTGTATCTAAAATGTTATATGTGAGTACCATGAATTTAGTCATAAATTTGTGATGATTATTTTTTCTTTAAAGAAATTTTGTTTAATAATTGGTATCCATGTGGAACCAGTTGTTTCCAGTTATGTTTTAAAAACTATTTTTCATTATTTTGTTCTGTAGAAGTAAACTTGTATATTATAATAAAATTAAATGGCTTCTGCGAGTAGAAATAGTAAATAACTCTTGGGATATGAAATTCCAGTTCCTCTATACATTGATGGATAATATCAATTAAAATATGCCAAAGAAAAAAAAAAAATTTTTTTTTTTTTTTTTTTTTTTTTTTTAATTCTTCAAAGCTAAGAAACTGCAGTGATCCCAGTAAAGTAATATCTAATTTTACAATATTGTATTTACTCAGAAATAAGAAAATATTTGTGTAAATATGATATTGAAACTTTTCCCCTAAATTTTTCTTTTAAAATTTAATAGGATTTATTATTGGATATTTTGAAAAATGACATTGCAGGATAAGAGAAAGGAATTTAACTATTGCACTATAGAGAATCTGTATAAATTACTGTTCACTGTTAAATACTTAAAAAACTGTACTGATAGTTACCATACATATCAAGTGCATAACTGCCACTACTTATTATAGCCATGTGTAGCTGAGCAATTTCAGTTTAGGTCTAACTACTACATTAGTCAGTGATGTGTCTGAAAACTAACAGGTAACATTGTATCACCAACTTCCCCTAATTTTCTCTCTAGACCATTGCAAAATATTATACAGTACAGTCCGAAATCCGGAATCGCGATTTGGGATTTTTCCGGATATTAGTTCATCAGTTTAAATCTAGTAAGATGGCATGTAGAAATTATAAAATAAAAAATATGAAATCGTGATTTATGAAATAGTGAAGTATTTATGATCTAAAGGGTATCAAAACTTACAGAAAAAAGCTTCATATTTATTTGTTTACCTTATTAAATATTTCTTTCAATGTAAGTTGTTTAAGTTGCTTTGCTTTTTGAGATAACACTTTCTTTTTCATTCTGTAGACAAACATAATCTCTTGTTTAGTTACATTGTTGAAGTCTTTTAACTGCTGTTTCGAGAATTCAGACTAACTTGTCAATCGAAATTTTCTCATTTTCAGTAACTTCTCTGTCACTTTCTTCACTATTAGTAGAACCATACTACAAATTTCACCATTTATAAATTGATTGATGATTGAGAAGCATTGTCATTACAATGAAAAATTTCTTTTATATCATCTTCATTTATTATTGCTTCTCCACATGTCTTTACAAAATCCGTTAATTGGAAAATTTCACCTTTATTTTGCGATATCCGAAAGCCTTTAAAATTCGTGCCTATCATCATCATCAAATTTAGCTGTCCTGCACTATACATATTTGGCTATGCATCATGAGCTTGGCGACTAACGACAAGTTGTTCCGTTAAATTTTATCTTGCTTCTATCGTGCAGAGACAATTAAGCCTGAATTGTATTAGTTTAGTTATTTATTATGTTTATTTCTTGCACATGCTTAAGGCTTATCAGAGTTCTGAATAAGTAAATTTCCACATATATTTAAGCTGTATTGAGGGCCGGGACAAGTTGTCATATTTTGGAAAACATGCAATGATGAAAGGAAAATATAATAAATAATGCTTTGCCAGGTTGGCATCAGATCCACGATGTATCTATGTGGAATGTTTCATTTTGAGATAGATGTCAAGCAGATACACAGCAATGGAGTCAAATTACTGTTTATAAAAATTTATGCTAAAATTATTGTTTCTTCAATAACAAGGTATTTTATTTAGTGTCGAAGTGAAATTAATAATTGGGAACTCTCTAGATGTTTTGTTATGCGCGGAAGGGGAATCAAATGTGCATGCGTAAAGCCTACGAGAAAAAATGGTGGTTTTTGAGGTCAGGATTTTAGATCATTCCGGATAATGTACGTAGGGATTTCAGACTTTGTACTGTATTTAATTAGGTAGTTTACATTTCGCTCTAATGTGAATCAAATGAATTCTTATCAAAACCCTACTCTCACCTAATATCTACCAACATTTTTATTTCTGAAAAGTGTAATGAAAGTCTTATAATTTGTAATGCCTTTCTTTCTTATTTCTTTGTTTAAAACATATGTGTATTCTAATTTTTTTAAATATGTGCTATAAGATTTTCATGCTACTCTTTCATATTAGCTGCCAACATTTTGTCTTTCTTCTTATTCATTACATTTTCTATCAATAATGATCAGAACTAGATTAAGCAAAATAAGCACATATTTAACCTATGATACCAAAGAAAGGGGGCGTTACAAAAATTTCCCATTGCTAGATTTTACTGTATAACCTTAAAAAAAAAAAAAAAAAAAAATTAATATCACCTTAGTAGATGCATACCTGTAAAAAATTAGTTTTTTATTCAAAATTTCCCAAGATATACATGAATTTATATATAGGCATGTTTTGAAATGAGGCATATTTGTTATTAGCGACAGATGTGGTGTAAACACTTTGTTCAAATTATTTGAAAAAATAAAAGATGCACCTTCTTACCCACTTGTGCACAACAAAAAGGAAAGGAAAATAAATTACCATAAATTAAGAATTTTGCCAAGTTGCACAGAGTGAAAATATATGTCAAATTAAATTTTTTAATTTCTTGGTAAGTTTCTCACTAAAGTTTACAAAATGTAATATTTAGGCAGAATTTGAATCGAAGAGTCGAAATATGGAATAAAAATCGGTGTGTTATTTCAGAAAAGATCCAGTGAGACAAAATAAAATAACTATGTTAGAACAATACTGTCTATGAATCTAACATATATCCTAGGTAGTGCTTTTGAGACATAAAAACGCAAATTAAATTTCATCAACCGACCAGTAGTCCGGGAGATATAGAACTGTTCCTCCCTTTTTTTGTGTGTAGAGTTTACAAGTAATTATTGTTATGTGCAGTGTTCAAAACCGTATTTGCCTTATCATTGTATGGATAGAGGATTAATATCTGTAATTTATTTTTACCGGTGCAGAAACTCCAAAAATTATAAGAATTCTGGGGAGGTTAAAAGATGTTGCAAATAAGTACCCCCCCCCAAAAAAAGCAATCCTTAAAAGAAAGAGATTCAGTGGTATGAATCCTGTTCTGCATTGTAAAACAACTATTTTCTTTGTTTTGATGAAATTAGTGGATAATTTGCCATATGTCATGTCAAAAGATGAAAACATTTCTGGTACATTTAGAAGTCTGAAACTATCAAATATTTAGTTATTTGTCTTATACAGAAACAAATGGAAAACAAAAAGACTAGTATTGACGGATTAAATTTAATTTGTTTTAGCTTCCTTCCATGGACCTCACTATTGAAAATACATTCAGTTACATGGGCGCTATACACGGAAGAGCCAAAACATTATAACCACCTACTCAAACCCACATTGTGCGATTTCAAAACAGCTGCAACTCGCCTTGGCATGGACGACACAAGTTCTTGGTAGATGACTGGAGACAGATTGTATCAAATGTCTAAGCAGCGGTAATGCGAATTCGAGATATTCTGACATGGTGGTGCCTGAGCTGTTACATCCAGAATCACTCCATGACATCCCAAAGGTGCTGTATTGGGTTAAGATCCAGTGAGTTATGTGGGCCAGGATATTAATTGAAATTCATCCTTATGCTTCTCGAACCACTCCAGCACAATTTGAGCCTTCTAACGTGTCCTGCTGGAAGATTCCATTTCTAGTTGGAAAGACAGATGCCATGTAAGAGTGCAACTGATCCACAATTATGTTCTCTATTCTACCATAACTAAGAGTGTCGGAGTAACCCATGAGAACATCTTCCAAAGCATAATACAGCCACCACCAGCCTGTGTGTGACCTGCTGTACAAGGAGCAGCAAGTGTTCAGCTGGGAGACAGCATAGTCTGACACGACCATCGGTGTGATGAATGAAAAATTGTGATTAATCAGACCAGGAAACTGTTTTCCACATATCCATGGTCCAATCTTGATGTTCTCAATTCCATTGTAGGCATAGTTGACAGTAACGTTTAGTCAACAGCAGAGTTGCAGCTAGAGGGGACAAGGGACATTTGTCCCGGGCACAGCTTTGAGTGGGCACCAAACTGATGTTACAGATTTTTAGAATGAAATGTTTTCCATTCTTGGCAAACAGGAGGGGGCATGATATCTTCAGTTGTCCCCAGGTGCTGAAAACCATAGCTACAGCTCTCATTGATAGAAGTACACAAGTGGGACATCTGCCGCACAGTCCCATATCCAACAGTGTCCACTGAACTATGTGTTCCAAAACACTTGTACCTGCATTATATTGGGCTGTCAGCTGAGCTACTGTGGTGCCAATTTTACTGTACCAAGCAAGACAGTCCTTTTTCTTTGATGACATGTAGATATCCATCACCTTGGCATCTACTGTTGGTTTTATACTATCATTTATCCACTTTGCATAAATAATAACAATGGCAGATTTTGAACAACCTACCAGCTCTACAGTTTTGGAGATACTTATTCTGAGTCTTCTGGATATTATAATCTGCCCTTTATCAGATTCACTGAGATCAACGGCCTTTCCCATCACTTGCATAAGTAAGTGCAAGGATGATTTCTTACCTTCTCCAGCATCGGTTAAATACCCATCCCACTTAATCAGGTGTCTTCCCCGTCATCCAACAATTTCATTGAAAAATGTGGGGATGGTCATAATGTTTTGGCTCATCAGTATATGACAGAATGTAGAACATCAATTGAACATGACAGCCGAGATGTTGCAAAGATGAAAATATTATTTTTGCCTATTAAACAAAAATGCATATGAATTTTTTGGTCAAAAAATTCTTCTTAAGATCCCACGAATAAAAAAATACGGATAATTTATTGAATAAATGGGCCGCCTGGAAAAATTCTTCACAATCCATGAACCATTATCTTCCTAGTAACAGTTCCTTATCTCCAACAGCTGTCTTACATGCATACAAGGGGAAAGTCATTAGTATCATCAAAATAGCTTGTTGATCTCGCTGAACTTTAAGTTATCAGCAAATAAAACTAAAAATATATAGTAAAATATAAACTAACATTTAATAAATTTGTACTTTCCACTTCACAAATGAAATTTATTAAAAATTTGCATGTATGTATATTTGTGTATCACATGAATGTTCTGAATTATTTGAAATTTGTTGAATTTTTACTCCAAGCTATTTTTCATGATTTTTTAAATAGTTGCAATCATCCCTGTTTTGGTGTGTAATTACTAATGTGATATTTAACTGTTGAAATTGTGTGTTCTGAAAGAAATATTTTTCCGGATGTGAAAATTTAGCCTATTTTTCATTTAGGATGGGACAGAAATGTGTAGTAAAATTTAAAGCTTTTTAAAAGTATGAATAAATAAAAAATATCGAGAATGCACATCATTTGTTTTAAACTTCATTTTGTAACTTCAAATGCAACTTTTTAGCTAAAAATTTCCTTTCAGGTATTTAAATGCTATTCAAACCATCTGTCCTCATATTCTGAGGTATCTGACAGCAGCTGTGATCACAAATAAGCAAAGACCAAATGTTATGAAGGAATTAGTGAAGGTTATTCAACAGGTTCGTACATTTACTGCTTTTATTGTAAAATTAGTTCATGCCTTAAGTACCAATAATAATAATTTCCTTTTATTATTATGGCAAAAGTTTCTTTTGCTTTTTAAAGCAAGAAACATCAAGATTCAGCTAACAGTTCTTTACTTAAAAAAATTAAAATATTTTTTAAAAAAAAACTGTTTTATTTCCTGTTCCACTTTTTATGAATATTTGTAAAATATACAGTTTGCCACAGTGCAACATTTTAATTGAAATTATTTAAACTATATATGACATCTCAACTGTCTTTCCTCTCCTATATTTTTCGATTCTCAAATAGCAGCTTAAAACCAGGCACAATGTCCATAATTTAACTGTATCATAGTTAATTTGAGAACAATTAAAAACACAGGAAAGAGGATTACTCATTATTTATTTAACAGGAAAATACGATTAACAGATTTTTCAAGCAGTTTATTAATTCAGAGAATAAGTTCATTTGGTTTGGATATCCAGTATTTTTACTTCCTTGTATGAAGTAAAAAGAAAGTATTGTAATCGCAAAAAACTTCAGGCATCATATTTCAACGAAAATATCCATTTTGACCACTATTGAATGTAATTTAACGATAGTTTTGCATGACATCTGTACCTAAAGACAGAATAAAGGACTCTTGTCCCCCCAAAAAAATTATAAAACTGCTTTAAAATGAATTTTGAAGAGAACTTTTCGTGGCGTTTCTATGTAGATACCTGTGTATCTCGCATAATTCAAAAACGAATAGCCTCAGAACGTTGAAATTTTGTATATAAGATTGCTATAACATGTAGTTGTGCACCTCGTATTTTGGTTGCAATTGGCCGCGCCAAACGTATATAAACATATATGTATATATATATTCACTCTGTTACTCTTCTCAGTGATCTCTTTATTCTTATATGTTTGTAAATTGTGCATTTTTTGCTTTAAAAATAATTGAATAATGTTGTTCTTATCTTCCAGTTAAGGTTTTGATAATTTTTAGAATTATCTACAATCTAAAAGTTGTTTAAGTGCTGCTAAGCCTAAATATTTTTGCCATGGCGACCATGTTTTTTTACATTTGAAACAGCAGAATAGTAGATTTGTTGCAAAACTAGAGAAAGTAAACTTTGCAATGACAAAGATAGTGCCTTCTTTTATTATTGCGAATTAAATCATGTTTAATCTATTCTGGAATTTATTCAAGGAAATAAGTGTTTAAGATTTACTTCATAATTTTCAATACAGATATTTTTAGTTTGTATGTATTTTTGCCTTGTCACGAAGTGAAAATTGTATTAATTGAATAAGAAATACTGAATCGTCTGTGAAAAACTGTTCCCCCTTCCCCCCCCCTTTTTTTTTGTTTGTTTGTTTGTTTGTTTAATTTCTTTTATACATCGTTTTAGATTTGATATAGTATTTGAATAGAACATGTAGCAACAATTCTTAAGATGACATAAATTTTTTGCATTTTGAGTTAAACACTGAATGAAATGTAATGCCGTTAAGTGAACCTGGGGCCAAAGTGTCGCTATGGTTAACAAATATAGTGAATTTTAAAGAGTTCATTTATTCTATTGTGGTTTATGACAAAGTAAATTTAATTCAATCCAATAAATTTAAATGAAATGTGGGAAAAAATGTGTATAATTTAATGGTTGATCTTTGGATTATGGTAACTTGGCAATTTTTTGGCGACCAACTCTTCTACAGCAACCCTCTTATTTTTTTTTCGCCGCCATTTTGTCTTCACGAAGTAAAGACATGTTTCTTTTCTTTTTATTTACTCAACACTTTTTCCAACAATCTACTAGCCGAATTACACTTATGCTAGAAATTTTATGTAACAAAACTGCTTAATCATGACAAATATTAACTGCAAAATTGGGAAAAAGTGCACAATCGCAAACTCCTTGCGCGTTTTTCAGAATAGCACATACACATAAACCATTTACACGTCGACTTATTTTTACTTAAAAAAACATCCCAGAATTGCACAAAAATGGCATTGCACACACTCTTAACTTTATTTATCCATCTACACTGCTATTTTCTCATAAATTACAAAAATTTGCACGAAAATGCAGGAAAATTTTGTGAATCTTTAAACTCGGTAAAAAGCACATATATGAAATTACCTGATCGCGAAAAAGTATATACCCTTTCCAAGGATGAACATTTCCACGTATAAAATAAATAAAATATCCAAAAACTTTTACCTCTAAATTATCTATTATATTATAAACGTCACCAACGAATTTATACCGCAAACATTAAAAATAGTTACAAATACTTAGTGTCAAATATTTAAATTATTTACATACACGTTTACTTCAACTGAAACGTATACCAAATTGCTACAAACATAAAATTCACAAAATAACTATCATTTAATTAAAATATCACTAAACCATGTACACGTCGACTTATTTTTACTTAAAAAAAATCCCAAAATTGCACAAAAATGGCATTGCGCACACTCTTCACTCGAAAATGCATGAAAATTTTGTGAATCTTTAAATCTGGTAAAAAGAACATATATGAAATTACCTGAACACGAAAAAGTATATACCCTTTCCAAGGATGAACATTTCCACATATAAAATAAATAAAATATCCAAAAACTTTTACCTCTAAATTATCTATTATATTATAAACGTCACCAACGAATTTATACCGCAAACATTAAAAATGGTTACAAATACTTAGTGTCAAATATTTAAATTATTTCCATGCACGTTTACTTCAACTGAAACGTATACCAAATTGCTACAAACATAAAATTCACAAAATAACTATCATTTAATTAAAATATAACTAAACCATGTACCCGTCGACTTATTTTTACTTTAAAAAAAATCCCAGAATTGCACAAAAATGGCATTGCGCACACTCTTCACTATATCCATGTACACTGCTTTTTTCTCATAAATTTGAAAAATTTCACGAAAATGCGTGAAAATACTCAACGTATACTACTCAAATGTATTCCAAAATACTACAAACATATAACTCACAAAATTACAATCATTAAATTAAAATATAATTAAATTAAAAAACACTACTTAAAATATAAATAAGCACATACATTACATTAATAAAAATTAGATTACAATCCTAATTACTTTAAACTAAATCATTGCTAATAACAATTTTCCAATAATACCATATTAATTTATTTACTCCTTACATTTAGAACAATGCATAAAAATAATATCCTCAAATGATTAAAAATACTAACTTACCAATCTTCTTCAGAATCTTCATTACATGGCACATACACTTCCCTACAGAAAGAGTTCCAATTGGCTGCAGTACTACTGCTAGTTTCTAAATCCGAAATCCAGTAGTCAACTGGCAGTCTATTCACCCAGTAATAACAAATTAATAAAATTTCACCCATACTCAAACTACTTTCATCCAACCACGTACCCTTCCTTACACTCCATTTCACAAAATGTCCATTTTCACTAGATTTCTTGCACTGCCATTCAAACTTATCTGTAATAGCCTTCCTTTCACACAATCTCATTTCATTTCCACATTTTGGACATTCATACTTATTCATACTCATTCGCAATTAAACCTACACTCATACACCATTCAACCAATTCTTTTGAATTATCAGATAAATGCATAAAAAATTTAGAATTCACTTTCGATAGCACCATGCAATCCAAAAAGTAATCAACACTATTTCACACAACACACAATGAAGCTTAATACACAATAATATAGTGCTATAGATATTTTTCCAAATTTACCCCCTTTTCCGATTAAAGAACTGTAATTCGTCCATTAATGTCACATGACATATCTCATGATCTCTCATTTCCCTCACACAAAATAATGCGTAATCGGAACTGAGTACATCTCACATTATTACCAAAGTCCTAGGTAGTAACCTTTATCGCTTCCAAAATGTCGCCAAACTACCTGCTACCATATTCCAAAGATCAGCCAATTTAATATTTCATACAAGGAAGTCATCGTGTACACATCAGATTTTTTAGATGAATATTTACTAAATTGTTTTAATGTTCCTTTTATTTAATATCACAGATTAAAACTAATCATATTATAGTTTTTTTTTTTTTTTTTTTTTTTTTTTTTTTTTTTGTTTTTTTTTTTTTTTTTTTTAGGAATCTTATCAGTATCGGGATCCCATTACTGAATTTGTGGAATGTCTGTACGTGAATTTTGATTTTGATGGTGCACAACAAAAATTAAGAGAATGTGAACAAGTCCTTGCGTATGACTTCTTCCTCGTGTCATGTCTAGAGTCATTTATTGAAAATGCACGTTTAGTTATATTTGAAACATTCTGCTGTATCCATCAGTGTTTATCCATAAAGTAAGTATACTCCTTTCAATGGATGGTATAGCTTAAAATAAAAAATTCCAGTATTTTATGTTATATTTTACATAATTTAAAATGTTAGTCTTTTCTAAATTATTTTTAACTGTCCAAATCATTTTTTGGTCTTGATTGATTATGCATAGTATTAGTCCAAATATTTAAATAATTAAAAATGTATGGTTTTTTAAACTTAATTTTATACTCGAAATTGTAATCAGCATGAATAGTCCAGTAGAAGTTTTAATGCTGCATTTTAAATCAATTATGCAGAGCACGCACTAAGCTTCTTAATTTTTGGGTGTACCGGTTACCAAAGCTCAGAATAATTTCTTGTGTTGTAATGTTTTTGTCAAGTATACTGTATGTATCTTTCACAATATGCAATCTAATGCTCATTTTTTAATCCTCCCCTCCCCAAACTGAAATAAGTTGTTAACCATTAAGATTCTGAAATTCCTTTCTTGGTTATTTATGTCTTCCACAATATCAAATGTCAAGTTGAAATCTTTTTAGGGCAATAAATATTTCATAAAGAAATCTGCAAAAGAAAGTGCAAATGCTTCAAATTATATTCTTCCTGCTACCATAACTAGTGAATAAATTTACACTCCCAGTCTATAGCATTTTGGATGAACTCATATATACAAGAGCAATGAAGTTGGAGATGTTAGAAGAATTAAATATTACTTATGTATATTGGATTGAAGTAACAACAATTCTGGAAGAATAAGTGTAGGGAATGTTGTTGCTTTGTAATTTTAGAAAATTAATATAAAAATGTTCTGAGAAATCCTTTTCATTGCAAATATTCAAATTTTAAAAAGTGGGTTTTATTTGTAGAAGAAGCATAATATTTTATTGTTTTAACGGGTAAATGTCTAATTGTAGTTCAGGCTTATGATATTCTCATTTTAAATTTTAGATGTATTAAGTCCATAAAATTAATTTGCTGAACATTTCAAGAATTACATTAATGGGGGGGGGAGTTCCAACACCAAGAAGGAGTTGTGCTTGATAAGGAAAATTTGGTAGACATGTTTATATATCTGAAAGATGACATATATTTAGATTTTGCACTAGGTGCATAAGCATGGCACTAATAGTGCCACTATGAACATGCAAATCAATTTGCTTTAAATACGTGCTATAAAGCTCAAGATTGTTATTAATGAGATTGATGTAGTGAGTTGGTGTTAGTCAAGAATTCCTTTGAGGAGACGAAGAAACCATTATCAACAGCTCATTGAATTTAAACAAGGTCGTGTAATAGGGCTGCAAGAAGGTGGATTTTCTTTCCACAATATTGCAAAAACTTGGCAGGAATGTATCCACTGTGCATGATTGTTAGCAGTAGTGGCCAAAGAAAGGTACTGGCTCAAGAAGACCAGGTTTCAGATCGCCACGTGGCACTACTGAGAGGGAAGACCACTGTGTTTGGCGGATGGCTGTGGTGCATAATACTGCATCTGCAGCAGAAAATTGAGCTGCATTTGCCACCACAGTGACACACCGAATTTCTATAAATCAGTTACTTAAACAGCAACTCCGAGCCAGACACTGTGTAGCATGTATTCCTACACAATCCAGAGGCCTTGTAGCGTACTGCCATTTGCAATGTCAGTGGTATCAAGCTCATTGCAAAACATAGTGGAGATCTGTTGTGTTCTATGATGAAAGCCAGTTCTTTCTTAATATCAGTGATGGCCATTTGTTGGTTAGAAGGAAGCCAGGTGAGTGCCTGCAACTAACCTGTCTGCAGCCTAGACACACTGGATCCGCATCCTGACTTATGGTCTTGGAAACAATTTCGTATGACAGCAGGAACACTCTTGTGGTTAACCTATGCATCCTGACTGCAAATTTATATGTCAGTATGGTGATGCAATGTGTTCTTCTGCCATTCATTTCAGGGGGTATTTTCCAACAGGATAATGCTCACCTCATATCTCTGCTGTAACCCAACATACTGTACAGAGTGTCGACATATTGCCCTGATCTGCTAGATCACAAGATTTTTCTCCATTCGAGCATGTATGGGACACATAGCCAGCATTAACCGTCTCTGTGTTGACCTATTAGCAGGGTTGCCACGCTACCTGGAAAACCGGGAGAACCCGGAAAAGTCAGGGAATTCGAAAATTGACCAAAAAATTCAGGGAAAAGTCAGGGAATTTAAGTATTTTTGTCAAAATCTGGAAAAGTCAGGGAAGTTCATACAATGATCCCGCCAAAAAAAAGCGATTTTTGCGCCGACGTCGGAAGAGATAACTTTCTTGGCGAATTGCCTATCACGTGAGTGTCTGCTGGTATAGAGCCAATTTTCGCAGCTCCAATTTGATTGCCTTTTAGAAAGGCAAAGCAAGTTTCCCGCAACTTTTGGTTTCCAGTATTCTCGAGAATCGCATGTGCAGTGCATGAACTAAAGAAAGTACCTGTTCTCGTATAAAACAAAATGGGTTTATATTAGTATACGGTACCATGGAGGTTAGAATCAAAGAATATGTATTGTAAAGAAGGAAAACCTCTCTGCAACAGACGTGGCTCCGTTCCATCATAGAGGGAAACAGCTGTGCATGCGTTGGATATATCTGCCGCCAAAGCTGGAAACCGGTGTCGAAGTTCGAAGGTCACGTTATCAAGAGTTCATTAAATGAATATCCTTTAAAATTTCTTTAACCACTTGCGCTAAAAAGACGTGCCACGCACGTCGAGATGTTTTTTGTTTCAAACTGCGAGCGACGTGAACACCACGTCGATAAGTATTTATCGCAAAAATGAAAATAACATGGTGCACACGTCGCCTAACAACGAGATTGTTTATTTCTCGAGTTACAGCTCTGGATTGCACTCGCAGATGCGGAGCGGCGTAAATGAGACACTTTACCACTTGCTATATTGTAGCGCACGGCACCCGTGAAGTTTAGTCTTAGCGCAAGTAGTTAAACTCTAAATTAAAAAAAAATATTTTTTGACGCAAGTAAATTAATTCATAGGTTAGTAATTTTCAGGGGGGGGAACTACGCTTGGATTTTTCGCAATAATTTAAAAACGGATTTTCGTAGCTTTCTTTTTGTCAAAGAACGTTTCTTCTTAACACGTTTCTCAATTTCCGGTACACATCGCGGAGAGGGAAATTCTGGCCGCCAGGTTCCGTCGCCAAATCCCTTGGCAAATTTTCCCTCCGCATTCTAGCGGCGTAATAGCATTTTACTTGTATGGAAAATTTTCTTTTTTACATAGACCAAAGAATTAGAGATTCTTTGCATAGACGTTTTTTTGGTTAAAATAATCTCCATGTATGGATTTGGCGACATGATGATGCGCAGTAAACGGGTCATTTTGGTCTTGGCGACAGTTTTTTCAAAATCGTTGCCAAAGCCTTACCGTATACTAGAATTTTACCGCAAAATCTTTTTAAACTTTTTTCTTTTTAATAAATACCTTGCCATTTTGCAGTAAAATAAAAAATAGTAATTTGTCATCTAGGCTAACCCCATGTAATATAACTATATTCGCTAAAATATCGTTGATTATTGTAATTCAATTTTTAAGTAATTATCTTTATTTTTTATGTTATTCGTATAATTTAATGATGCTTCTTCCCTCTAAATTTATTAATTATTAGTAAATAATATTTCTAAATTTCAGGAAATTTTCTCTGGCATAATCTTGAAATTAATTAGCAGTATGATGACATACCATCACGAAATTTAATGCACATATTTTTTTTCTTATGTATGCTGCGAACTAAATTATAAAATAACCCTCAATTTATTAAAATAGAGATTTCTTTCTTTCGTTTAGCTGCAGAATGTCTGCAAAAAAAGCCTTATTTTATTCCAGATTGGGAAGATTCTAATCTCAATCTTCAATGGAGAAAACAACAACTATTATAATTATATTTGTGTTTTCAAGTGTTAAGGTGCTTTTAAGAACATACCTCACACAAATTAAATTTACCTAAAATCTAACCTAACTATTTAGCATTGCATTGTGATTTATAAGGACCGGATTAGCCTCGTGTTGAACTGGTGATGATCATGAGTAATAATTAAATAAAACACACATTTGTTATCCAATGTATATATCTTAAATTTTATTAAGTTTCTTAAGTGGAAAAGTAAACAAAATTATCAAACACTAAGTATACCAAGAATAATTAAGAATAAATGTCCTCTGGGATTTATTGAATAATTAAGTGAATTTGCTACACAATACAAGTAATACCATAATTTACCTCTTAGCGTAGCCAACGTACATTACGCGGATAGACTGGAATTTTCTTGAAACGCACCTGGAAAACCTGGAAAAGTCAGGGAATTTCATTCTCCTGTTTGAGTGGCAACCCTGTATTAAGCGCAACAGACATGGAACTTATCCCACAAACTGACATCTGCCATTTATGCAACACAATGCATGCAAAATTTTGGTGGTAGAAATTACTGTAGAGTAATGAAATTTCAGCATTACACAATGCATGAAAAATTTTGGTGGAAAAAATTACTGTAGACCAATGTTGCCCAACCTTTGGCCTACCGCGAGGCCAAAATGCACTTTCCAAACATCAACATTTTTGTTAAACATATTTCCAACCTTATGTGATACATATGAAATACTAATTTTGGCAAATGGGTTTGAGATGAATAATAATATTGGTTGAACTTTATGGAAATCAAAGAAGTAAAGTTCAAAATTATTTTTTAGTGCCTTTAGGTTTTCCGAGTATTTCTCTGTTTCAATTGCCTTCTGGTTATTAATATGGCTTGATAAATTTTGAAAATGAGTGAAATTTTTTTCTTTCAGCGGGATTTATCCACAAATTTAACTTTATCTGAAAAGCAGTTGCAGTCCCAGTCAATTGAAAAAGGGTTTTTTCTTTTCCTTGGACATCTTCGTTCAGTCTGTTCAGTTTAGCTGCTATATTCGTGAGAAAATGTAGATCGGCTAACCAATTATTATCGTCCAATTCTTTATAACTTTCGTTTCCGGATTCCAAAAACTGCTTTATTGCTGAAAGAAGTTCTACAAATCGTTGAAGTACTTTTTCCCTGCTGAGCCATCTAACATCGGAATGAAGCAATAAGATTCCATGCTCACTATCAAGTTCATTAATCAGCAATCAATTATTTTATAACGTCTTGCAAGATATCTCTTATGACTGACTATAAATGCTTACCATATTTTAACAATTAAGAAATATAAATGAATGGTTATTTTAAAAATATTTTTTGTTCATAGTACCTAATCGGGCTGGCGAGCACATACAAAACGATCGACGAGCACATGGTTAGGCACCGCTGCTGTAGAGTAATGAAATTTCGGCATTACATTTTCAAGGTCACAGGTGTGATAACAGCATTTCAAATTTTCTCAGTTTCAGGGTTTTTCACCCCATCTGTGTATTTCCATGAATTTATAAGCTTTATCTAAAACATTTTGTTTCTCAAATCAAAGTGGGGGGATTTAGCTTTCTTAATGGGGTGGAGAATGGCATTCAAATTTCAGAACTGTTAACAGAAAAGGGACAAGAGTTTAGTTGGAGAGAAATGTTTCTGTATATTGAAATTTTAAGTACATAATTGTAAAAATTAGTTATAATATGCTGTTGCAAATGTTAGAATTACTCATAAAAATATGCAAATAAAAAATGTTCATGTTTCTGAAATAATTCAAAAATGAATACCTTTCTTATGGCATATTCAGGTACAAAAAAATTTCTCCTATAGAGAATATAGAAATGATTTTTTTAAAATATGATGACATGTACTATATGTTAAAAGGGTTTAACCAGTAGGTCATTAGTGAATTTTACTTAGTATTTGTAGTATCTGTTTTATTTGCATTGTGTCAAACATATATAACTTTAATTGGGATTACTTATTTTTTTCCACCAAGCAATAAACCTTTTCTCTCCTGAAGTCTTATTATTAGCACATTCTGTACAATGCATGCCTTCGTGTTGAATCTGTTTTTTTTTTTTTTTTTTTTAAGTGCAGCATACAAGCAGTCTTTTTTGTGGGGAGAAAAATAGAATATTCAGATTTTATGGACATAAAAGCCTTTTTGAATTGAACACAATTATTTTTACACTGACTTGTCATAGGAATGTATATTTAATGGTGAAATGTTATAATAATTTTCCATGATATAAATGTGTTTTTCAGTTATAATAATCATAGAAATGTTTTTTATTTCCAATTATTCTACTGTGTATGTGTAAATTACCATAAAATACTTTGAAAATTGCATACAGATTAGTTTTATTGTTAATATCTCTTAAACTTGTTAGTCTGACTAACTTAATCCGTTTCTTTTTCTTATCTCCTTTACCCTGAAGGATGTTGGCAGAGAAATTAAACATGGATCCTGACCATGCTGAAAAATGGATTGTAAATCTCATAAGAAATGCTAGATTGGATGCTAAAATCGACTCACAATTGGTATTTAACTTCCATTTTTTATGTAATTTTTTTTTTCATTACTTTGCTGTTTAATTTGTATTTAATCTTTAAAGCAGGAGTCATTTGTGTTTTGTTTTTACTTTAACACTCTAATATTTTTCAGGGGCATGTTGTAATGGGAACCAAAAAACTTTCTCCATATCAACAGCTGATTGAGAAAACAAAGGTTTTATCTTTCCGAGCACAATTATTAGCTTCAAATGTAGAGAAGAAAGTAGCTGCAAATCATCCAGAAAGAGTAAGAATTTTATTATAATATGTGCATCATTCTTATTTGTAATAATTCCTCTCACAGTTTTTATAGAAGCATATTCATACATGAATAGTGAGTGCTTTTGTCTTACTGGAAGAAATTAATGAATTCAAACACCTTATAAGTCTTTTATATATTACATTCATCAAAGTATAAATAGTCACTTGCTTACTGTGATTTCTTAATAGAATAATAAATAATTCAGAAAATATCACCAAATACAGAAGGGACAGCTAATTGCAGATTCAAGGTCTTCCTTTCATGATTAAAAGCTAAAGTGTTGCCATATACTAGTTAAACTGGGTCTAATTTGCATTCTTGCAAAAGATGATGGGAAAATTATAAAAAAGAATTAACCAGAAAAATAGCTGTTTCATCAAAAAAAAACAAGACCCAAAACTGGAAATATTCGCAATTTTTTAGAAGCTCTCAACATAAATGTAATGCTCCATTTTTTTAACTAAAATTTTATTTTTTACTAGCTGTCTCAAATAATAGTATTGAGAGCCTCAGAAGAAGAATTGCCTCTTATTGGGTCGAAATTTTTGGTTTGCTGCCAAGATATGTAAATGTAATGTATAGAAAAGCAATAAAATCACTGATTCCTTGTAACTTGTTCCAGGCTCATATTGTAGTGATGGGCTGGCTATGCATGGAAGTTTTCAGAATTTTCCTTGCGTATAATGGGGAAAAAAGCCAGTTTTTCATAAAAGGTTCTCTGCAAAGCTATCCCTCCCAAAATTTTATTTAAGCTGTTATAAAAGCTAATAATCTGTGGAATTACTTTCTATATATATATATATGTTGTAAGATAAAAAAATATAAAAGCAAACTTCTAAATTTAATTCACTATAACCTCTTTTATTTCATTTGGAAACTTTATCGCTCTGTCCTAAAAATAGCGCTGTTAAATCTAAGTCTAAACTGCAGGCATTCAAATCAATCATGCGACCCTACGCAACCCTTAATGCAGATACCTCTTGACCAATCACCAAATTGTAAACCAAAACTAAGAACTGAAACTTTTGACTCCCTCCCTTCTTTCTGTGAACTGATGTCATTTTTGCTTGTGCTTTGCTCTTGGTCAGATTCCCGTCTGCAATCATGTGTGTGCTGCTGTATTCGCTTCTATGGCAATAATATCAAAAATTGTAAATGTTCTTTAATAGGCAGAAGTAGAGTGCCAAGTGAATTGTGGCCACAAAATAGGAATTTAAATAAATAAAAGGAATTTAATCTGGCTCAACTGCTTCTTCTTCAAAATGGATCAATGCTCTAAGCATCAAGTATTTACGCAATTAGTATTTCTACGCATCTACATCTCAGCGTTCTTATTTCAGTGCCTCCAAAAGTATTCTGTCATTGCATTCTTCAGCCAGTTCTAATTACGAAAAATTCTACACGAGCTTGTTAAGCTGTGTTCACAGTGAATCATTAGAAAAGTCCTGTTTCATCAAAAATTTTAATGCAAGTTTGTGCTGCATTCATAATCAAATCTTTCATGTTGTGTCATCGAACCACAGTTTCATTACATACAATTACTCAAGTAATTTATCAGTTTTACTCCATAAATTTGCTTTTCACTCAAAATTCAATTAGCGAAAATGCTTAATCAGAATGAATTCTTTTGTGCTCTGCATTGGTTCTTGATCCCTTCAATTCACGGAAATATTTGGCCTAACTTAAATAGCCAGTTTGGCATCGCGAAGAAACACCTTCGTATTTATTTCTTAATTATTGTCCATTGAACGGGAGTTGGTTTGTTCCCCTTGAAAAGATTGATTATGTGCTTTTAATTTCCTTTTACAATTGAAATTTTGTTATTCATGATTTAATTCAAGTCCCCGTTAAACATTTTTAACAATTTACATTCAAGTTACTTTAAAACCATTTTCAGAATTAAACTTACTAACTATGGATTCACTCTTTTTAGATAATTCTACTAAAAGTAACCTTAGAAGATAATATAATCAATATTTCTTTAGTAAACACACACACATATACAGTCAAAAGTCGTTAATTCGGAATGATCTATAATCCGGACCTCAAAGCTAAAAACTTTCTGCGCATGCGCCGCGTTGACACATGCGCATAGGCGTTTACGCGTGCGCGTAAGGCCTTTTACGACTGCGCATATGAGTGTGTGCAGAATACGTTTGCGCATGCGCGTTTTATGTATAACAGATGGTATAAGCTAAAATTATCGATTTCAGTTAATGTTGATGATTGCGTCGTTCCTTAATTTTCGAATTGGATCCGGCTTATTATTTTTTGCAGACTGTAAGAGCAATTTTATAAAAGTAAACTTGAACTTTGGATTATGTCAAATAGAATTTCCGATGCTGGAGCTTGCAAAGGATCGTACAAAACGAAAGTATGTTTCGATGTTCATCAAACAAAAAGTGGAATTGCTGCAAAAAATGGATAAAGACATGAAGAATGTGACAGAGAGGTTAGTGAAAACGAACAAATTTTGATTGAAAAGTTAGTCATGACAAGTTAGTCGGTATTCTCGGCACAACAATTAACGGGACTTGAACAGCGGAACTTTGTAACTGAACAAAAAATTATGTCTGTTTGTGAAATTAACGAGAAAATATTAGCACATAAAAAAGAAGCAAATCAAACAACTTACATTGAATGAAATGTTTAATAAAGTAAACAAATAAATATTGAAGCTTTTTTTTGGGGGGAGAGGGATAAATTTTCTGTAAGTTTTGATACCCTTTAGATCATAAATGCTTCTTTATTTCATAAATTACGGTTTCATATTTTTAATTTTATAATTTCTGCATGCCATCTTACCAGATTTAAACTGATGATCTATAATCCGGAATCGCCGAAGTCCCGACGAGTCCGGATTAACGACTTTTGACTGTATATATATATATATAAATGAAATTTTACATTGTGTTTAGGTGAATGGATAATTTTTTTTGCTTTGGGATAAAATGTTATAGTAACCTATTAAGAGGGTAAGCTGTAGAATATGGCCCTGTGTTTGATCTTTTGTATAAATTCACTCTGTAATTAGCATCACTTATCTCATATTTTTTCAATTTTTAATAATACTATATCAAAATGGTTGTTAGCTGCTTCTAATATTTATGAAAGCTATTTAGGAGATGTAGTTGAGATAATGTGGGAACATTTTATAATTTCATTAAGATTTGGAAATTTTAGAAAATAAGTTAATTCCATGCATATTAAATTGCAATTAATTAATTATTTTTTCTTTATTTGGAAAAATATGTTGTGTTTGAAAAGTTTGGTGTACATCTAAGAATGTGTAATGAATTAATGATGTTGAGGCACCACTCTATTTAGAATGTATAAAGGCCATCCACTGAATGATTAAGGCCACTGAATAGTGGTAATTTTTCTTAACTTTTGTTGGTTCTTGGCAGGCAGACGGGTCATTTGCATGGAATTTTTATGATTTTCTCCATCTGAAACATGAATACATGAATGTGAGCCAACATCTCTTTGATACAGAATTTGGTTATGTGTGTTTGAATGTCTATGTGTGTTTTCCAAGATCAGTGTTTTCTTATGTGTAGTACTTTTCATTTGTTTTCATTGAAAGATTTCTTCCCAATATGAAAATTAGTATATTTTAACCACATGGAAAAATTCTGTTGTTCAATTGATTATAATGTTTTCTTCATTTCCCCTCTTTATGAGTACGCTACATACTTGTTTTCACTTGTATATAACTTGTCAGCACATTTTTATACATTACATTAATCATAATACAGTCAAAAGTCGTTAATTCAGACACCCATAATCCGGAATGATCTATAATCTGGACCTCAAAGCTAAAAACTTTCTGCGCATGCGCCGCGTTGGCACATGCGCACAGGCGTTTTACGCGTGCGCGTAAGACCTTGACTACTGCGCATATGCGTGTGCGCAAGTGCAGAATACGTTTTCGCCTGCGTGTTTAATGTATAACGGACGGTGTGAGCTAAAATTATCTAATTATCTATTTCAGTTAATGTTAATGATTGCGTTGTTCCTTAATCTTCGAATTGGATCCCGCTTATTATTTTTTGTAGACTGTAAGAGCAATTTTATAAAAGTAAACTTGAACTTTCGATTATGTCAAATAGAATTTCCGATGCTGGAACTTCCAAAGGATCTACAAAACGAAAGTATGTTTCGATGTCCAACAAACAAAAAGTGGAATTGCTGCAAAAAATGGATAAAGACATGAAGAACGAAAAACGAAAGTATGTTTCGATGTCCAACAAACAAAAAGTGGAATTGCTGCAAAAAATGGATAAAGACATGAAGAATGTGACAGAGAGTTTAGTGAAAACGAAAAAATTTTGATTGACAAGTTAGTCGGTATTCTCGGCACAGCAATTAACGGGACTTGAACAGCGGGACTTTGTAACCGAACAAGAAATTATGTCTGTTTATAGAATTAAAGAGAAAGTATTATCACATAAAATGAAGCAACTTAACAACAACTTACATTGAAAGAAATGTTTAATAAAGTAACAAAATAAATATTAAGCTGCTTTTTTTTTTTTTTTTTTTTTTTTTTTTTTTTTTTTTTTTTTTGTAAATTTTGATACCATTTAGATCATAATTGTTCTTTATTTCATAAATTACGGTTTCATATTTTTAATTTTAGAATTTCTGCATGCCATCTTACGAGATTTAAACTGATGATCTATAATCCAGAAAAATCGATAATCCGGAATCGCCGAAGTCCCGACGAGTCCGGATTAACGACTTTTGACTGTAGCAAAATATTTGTAACTATTGTAGTTGATATCATTTCAAATCTGTATTGTAAGTTCTTAATCGGAAAGGAATGTTGTCAGCTTTTATTCAGCTTTAATTTTTGGATATAAAATAACTACTACTATTCAAGTTTTGATATTTATCAACACTTTCGACACTTTTTATTTTTTAATTTGTAAAGTACATTAAAAAATCATGTAAATGTAGATAAATATTATTTATTTTTTCAA